GAGGTAGAAATTCTCGCATTATGCGCTTAAATGGGGCCCTTTAAGAGGAAGCTCGACGCTTTTCTATATCGTTACTCTGCGGAACCAAAATTATTTTTAAAATTTGATTCATTTATGTGAATTTTATTTCTGGAAAATTTAATTTTGATCTTTATACTTTATTAATTTTATCATTGCAGTATTTTCTTTTTTCTTTTTAATTCTCTTATAATACAGGCGGATGACCAAGACGTAAAAGATGTATTGGCGCCTAGGAATTCAACTCCCAGTCAGGATATGCTCAGAAACTTTCATAGACAGTAATTTAGATTTATCTGGTTCTAATCGTCCGACCGCTTTTATTATGAGCCTAAGTAATCTACAGTAGGTGTGCAAAAGAGGTATGCAGCGCGGAGAGGAATTAAAAGCACAATTCCTTCATACAACGTGAAATAAATGTTAACGTTTATATCTTTTTATAGTTTGTTTATTTCTATTGATATTTATGTGATAATTTCGTCACTGTTCAGATTTTTACGGTGTTGCAAATAAGAATAGTGTTCTTGATGTTAATATGAGGTTGTTTTTCGTTCCAAATCATCTATAAAGAGAAATCTGTGCTCGCGAGAGTTTTGGAGTTTAACCCTCATTTGGAAAGAATTAAAAAATTAAAAAGTATATTGTAGGCCTACATAACTTATGTTTATTTTATATCTGTTAAGTTCCTCTTTACTCGGTATTCAGGGCTGGATTTACACTTGTGACCCTAAGCTATAATAAGATAAGAGGCCCTTTCTCTCCTTAAAATAATGATACGTGTAATGATTCGCTTTTATCTTATTATTCATAAACATATTGGCAATCTAAGATCGCGTCACAGTTTGACGAATTAATATTCATTTTACTTTAAATATGTTAATATTTATTGATTAAATTTTGACTGTAACACGAATCAAGATTATGGATACAGATGTAAATTAAATAAGATTTACACGATTTACACTAAATATTCATGTTAATTTTCTCGAATAAATGTAGTACTTTCATGTAATTAAATCAAGATGGGTTATTTCATAAATTTTCATGTATAGTAAATTGGTAATGCCTTATTAATTTATTTAAATATAATTTTGAACAGAGAAATTATATTTAGACATTTTAAAGAATTTTTAATCAAACGTATGAAATAAACTGTTCAAAAAAGATTGAAATGTCGCGTATTTCATACCATACACTGAAAAATTTAAACATAATTTTCAGTATTATCATTTGCCTTTATACAGAAAAAAATTACTGTAATTAATTGTATATTTATGATATATATTGATACAATCANTACTAAAAATTTAAATTATTTGTAAAATTATTTATTTAAAAGTAGTAATAAAAAAGAAACAGTATAAAAAAATGTATATTATTAGTGTATTATATATATATTTTTTAATCAATTTGATTATTTGTAGATTATGTAGTTTTGTATTTATGTATATATTTTTGATTTAAAACAGTACTTTGAAATAATTTAACATAATTTACAAAATTTATTTGTAAATTTATTTGTAAACTCCTGTTTACCATGCAGATGCATTGCCAGTTACCTGGATCTTCCAGGTATAGTTGCTTTGCTTCTAGAACTATTAATTTAGATATAACCATACTGGTTACTCTAGTAATTGTTTGGCATTAATCTGAAAATTGGGTTAACAGATGTTTATATTTATATAAACCATTGCCATAGTTTTCAGTAAACTTTTATAATGTTACTTTTTTACTATGAAATTTTGCTGTTCTTTAGTTCATTTATTAGAAAATTTAATTTAATAATAATAAGCTAACATTACATTTTGGAGTTGGTGACATGTAATGAGTCAGTCAGGTGCCACCAACTCTCATTTCATCCAAATCTTATACTGTTTCCTGCATATCCTTTTTAGTTTGATCACTCAATTTACTGTATTGAAAAATTAATTTTTCTTACACTATAAAATGTGATATCAACTGCTATCATCTGTATTATTGCACATATTAGGCTATATATTTATAGTTTATGCATTTTGTAATCATTTGTGCATTTGGATTACCTATATCTAATAAATTAACTATCATCATACATATTTGATCTACAGTATTTAATATTACTGTATATAAGTAACTGAACTATTTGTTCTGTTATTTCACATTATTTTCCATAATTCAAAATGTCTTAAAATATATTATAAATTTATAAATACAACCTAATGACTTATTGAACAAAGCAATGACTTTCAAATAACATGAATAATTATGATCTCTGACCCATAGTAATTTTTATGAATTGAGGCAATTTCCATTAAATAAATTATTTAGAATGTCTCAAGATAATTTAGCTGTGTTCATGTATAATTTACAGTTTAAGAAATATTCTTTGAATATATTAATATCTATTTGAAATCTATACATTTAGAGTATGATGATAAAAATAGGTTAAAAATGTAAAGTCTACATTATTAGGATAAATGACTTTTAAATTCATTTAATCAAACTGTTTATTTCATTAATTATTCCTCATCATCTGCTTAGTGCAAAAATTGAAATATTTAAATTGGAAATTGCATTGTAATGAATTATAGAACAAAAAATGTAACTCATAATCCTATTTGATGCTTGCCTAGGAAGTTGTTTTACTGATTAATATTCATTTTGCCACTTGTTCCTATTTGCTTGCATTGATTATCTAGTATATTTGCTCTAATATGACATACATTCAAATATGATTCATGTTTCAGATAGATCAATAAACTTTTATATATGGAATAAAATAAAAATTTATAAAAATATAAATGTAACAAAAATATTGTTGTTTTGCAGGATATTAACACTAATGTTAATTCAGTAATGTTAATCAATAAACAAAAACAAAGCATCTTTTTAGTTGTTGTTTAGCTTAAAACATGGTAATATAAAAGTTGAATGATTAACTTTATTATACAATCATATCAAAATCAGGGTCAAGATTTCAGGAAAATATTAGATTCAAGCAACGTGACATTTAAAGAATAAATGTTTTGTTAAAACAAACACTTATTTGAATAAATAAAATAATAATACATATAAGCATAAGTACCTGTGCTCGTTTCTACACTGATTAACTCGAAGATGAAAATGATTATTAGCCTGTAAATCAGCTTTCCAAGCAAACAATAAGTGATATGCATGGAAAGTGTTAAGCAGGAGTATTAATCAGAAATAATGAAATATTTTGATCCTTATATGAAATATAGTTTTAATTGTTACTACACATATATAAAAAATTTTTCAGCTAATTTATTAAATTAAACTTATTTAATATTGTATAAATATGGCATATGAAAATTTGCAGTATAGTCAAATTCATACATTTAAATCTGCTAAATTTATTAAAAATTGAATAATCTTTAATCTAGTGTAAAAACAATTCTGAAATATTTTAGAATTGTGAATTAACTTGTCTGGAAGTTTCAACAGTTAAACTAATTTTAGGCCTTATATTAATATTATATTTATAAACAGAATTTAATATATAGACTAGTTGTTTAGGACCTCAAGCAATGCTTAGTTTGCTTATAAGATAATCCACCACTGATTCAGCTTCAAAAATAAATAATGAAAATGTTTTGATTTTGTTTCTCATGTGTTATATTTTTAAAATAATTTTTTTTTCATAATTTACTTATGGTTACATGTGTTAAGTTTTATGATAGGAGTACCTGCTAGGAGTCTAGAGATTTGATAATTTTATTTTATTGGAAAACATCAAATTAATTTAAAGAATATTACTACTTATCTGTAAAAATGTTTTCTAAACAATTTAATATAAAAGTTAATGAATGAAATTACTAAAAATTTAAATTATTTGTAAAATTATTTATTTAAAAGTAGTAATAAAAAAGAAACAGTATAAAAAAATGTATATTATTAGTGTATTATATATATATTTTTTAATCAATTTGATTATTTGTAGATTATGTAGTTTTGTATTTATGTATATATTTTTGATTTAAAACAGTACTTTGAAATAATTTAACATAATTTACAAAATTTATTTGTAAATTTATTTGTAAACTCCTGTTTACCATGCAGATGCATTGCCAGTTACCTGGATCTTCCAGGTATAGTTGCTTTGCTTCTAGAACTATTAATTTAGATATAACCATACTGGTTACTCTAGTAATTGTTTGGCATTAATCTGAAAATTGGGTTAACAGATGTTTATATTTATATAAACCATTGCCATAGTTTTCAGTAAACTTTTATAATGTTACTTTTTTACTATGAAATTTTGCTGTTCTTTAGTTCATTTATTAGAAAATTTAATTTAATAATAATAAGCTAACATTACATTTTGGAGTTGGTGACATGTAATGAGTCAGTCAGGTGCCACCAACTCTCATTTCATCCAAATCTTATACTGTTTCCTGCATATCCTTTTTAGTTTGATCACTCAATTTACTGTATTGAAAAATTAATTTTTCTTACACTATAAAATGTGATATCAACTGCTATCATCTGTATTATTGCACATATTAGGCTATATATTTATAGTTTATGCATTTTGTAATCATTTGTGCATTTGGATTACCTATATCTAATAAATTAACTATCATCATACATATTTGATCTACAGTATTTAATATTACTGTATATAAGTAACTGAACTATTTGTTCTGTTATTTCACATTATTTTCCATAATTCAAAATGTCTTAAAATATATTATAAATTTATAAATACAACCTAATGACTTATTGAACAAAGCAATGACTTTCAAATAACATGAATAATTATGATCTCTGACCCATAGTAATTTTTATGAATTGAGGCAATTTCCATAGTAATGAAATATGTGTAGACTTTTCATTTAAATCTGCTATGAAATTTTTTATACATCAAGTTTATAATAGAGATAGTCTGTTTAATAATTTTTATATTAATTTTTTAGACTGTTCAAAATTTAAGTTATTTTAATTGTTAAGTATGCATTATTTTTAATTTCTTTTACAGATCCTAACAGAAATGATTATTTTGGAAGACATTTGTAAAACATCCCCCAATGAAAAATTTTAAAATAATTTATAACTTTGTATAGTTGAATGATTTTTTTACAGTTTAGATATAATATAACTTCAAAGTTTTTCTCTATAGTTTTGGTGATAAAGTTGCAATGCAGATGACAAATTCTAATAAATTAGAAAAAGCAAGATCTGCTATTTTTACCTTCAAACCCAGTTCACAGCAAACATTAGTTGTTCAAAGCCCCGAAAGACGACCTTCATTAAATATGACACCACAAGTTACATCTCCCTTAATTATTCCTGTACTTCCACTAACACAAGGACATGGAACAGCTATTTCAAAAGTAACACCATTACCACATTTTTTAACAAATGTGGAAAATATACCCTCTCGTCCTTTGTCTTCACCTCCTCCAGAACCTTTCATGATTATGCGAAATAAAGCTCTGAATAAAAGAGTAATTATAAATGTTGGTGGAACAAAACATGAGGTGTTATGGTGTACATTAGAAAGATTACCGCATACTCGATTAGGACGTTTGAGAGAGTGCAATACACATGAAGCAATCATGGAGATATGTGATGATTACAGTTTAGTTGACAATGAATATTTTTTTGATCGTCATCCCAAATCATTTGGTGCTGTTTTAAATTTTTTTCGTACTGGAAAACTTCATTTAGTTGAAGAAATGTGTGTTTTAGCATTTAGTGATGATTTAGAATATTGGGGTATTGATGAATTATATTTAGAATCATGTTGTCAACATAAATATCATCAGAGGAAAGAACATGTTCATGAAGAGATGAGAAAAGAAGCAGAATCTTTGTTAGAAAGAGATGAAGAATTTTTTGGATATGGAAGGTGCTCGCCATATCGTAAGTTTCTTTGGGATTTGTTAGAAAAGCCAACCTCATCCCTTGCAGCAAGAGTGAGTATGTAATTAAATATAAATAAGATAATCAATAATAGATATAAATATAATTTTGTAATGAATGCAATAAAATAATAAGATTTAAGTTTCTACTTTTTTAATAATTTTCTTTTTAAAAGAGCTTGTATTTTTGAAATCTATGATACAGGCAACACTACACTTTTATGACAATTTGATCAAGAGAAACAATACACAACATTATGTGCAACAAAAGTATTAAAAGACATAAAGTAAATTTTATTTATATTTATGGTAATTTACCATGACATTTTTTTAATAATAATTTGTTAGTCAATATCTTCATTAATATTGTATTTTATATTTTTTACTTTGAGTTATGTGAAAATTAAATATAGATTCATTGATTGCAATATGTACTGATAATTTATTATGTTTATTAAAAAAATTATTAATTATTATTTTAATTAATGAAAAATTATTTTCTTAAAATTTAAAATATGTTATTGCACTTAGTCTGTTTGTCAATTTCTTTTATAGTCTTGGGAAATGAATTTTCCAAGTTATTTATAAACAGAAATGCAAAAGAATTCATGTAGATTGTTTCTGATTCTAAAAGTAATTAATATAAAAGTAACAATAGTTAATAATTTATTTTAACATATTCTAGTGTCTATGCTAATATGATTATGTTAAGTAATGTAATATACAGGTAACCCCCGTATAACATGGGAGTTATGTTCCAAAAAATTGCCATGTTATACAAAACAAAGAACTAGTAAAAAGGGGGGTTAGGTTCCAAAAATTAAAAAAACATGCTATTATATTTTCATAATTAAGATAAATATCTTTATTAAAATTTTTTTAAGTGATACATATTAATATAAATTAAACAAGGTTTTCTTCGTCATCACTAAGCACTATTAACTAAGGGCATTTTCTTTTTGGCAAGATATCCTTATCCTCTGAGCATTTTTCTGCATTATCTTCAGATCCATGCTCTACCTTTTGCAAAAAATATGCTACTTTAGATTGCTTGCTTTTAGTTAAAAGATCTTTATAAATTTCCTTATATGGTGCTAAGCACTTATGAAGAATAAAGCAAGTATGGAATAAGAAAAAAACATCTGGCAACATCAAAATCAGAAGCATTAAGATCTGGCAACACTGAAACAAGTTTCAAGAAGGACCACGTGTATCGACAGAAGGCAGGAAAAGAAAATTTACATACTTAAGTACTAATAGTTCACAAAAGTAATAATTTTTGTGATCTATTAGTATGTGAAAATTTATTACATTTTATGTTGTATGAGGGTTTTACCCAATTCTCGAACCGTGTTAGAGTGAATCCATGCTATAGAAGTGCCATGTTATACAGGGGTTACCTGTACTTAATTTAGTCAATACATACAAAATGAAAGAATCGTAGTCCATATAATCAGAGAATATTATATCTGGCAAAATATTAATAATGCTTATTTATGTATTTGTGTATAGTACTTGTCTTATTGTGTAGTAATGTAGCTTGAAGAATAATAGTAAATTATGGGTGTATAATGAAAACAGTTTTGGTGTTTAATGAATATTGGTTGCGTGTTTTGATTTAACATAAATAATATTTTGTTATATAACAATGTGGATTGTGAAATGCAAAGTATACATAATAGCTGTTTTCTTCTAATTTAGTGATTTGTTATATTGTTAAGACATATGGATTGAACATATAATTATAAATTTTATTCCATTTTGTATGTATTATGTAATACAATTGATACATTTATGTTTAAATATATAGAAAATAGATTATTTATACATAAGTTATTTTAAATTAATTAAATTAATAAGTAAACTAAAATATTTTAGTGAAATATTCAACAAAAATAATTGAATAATATAATTTAAAATTATTAAAAAAATATAATTAGTTTATAGTAATGAAAATATAATTGTATGAGTTTGTCATTATTTTGAAGAAAAAGTAGATATTATTTATTCTAATATATTTTTAAATTTTACTATGAAATTGCTATAGGATCAATAAGTTCTTTTAATATTAGATTAAATCAGGAAGAATGTTTTCATAATTTATATTTTGTTTAAAAAATGCATTTTTATTCCATATCGCATAATCTTCTTCAGTTTACAAATATAACTTACATTTAATAATACATTTACAGTTTATCATATTTTTTAAAAAGATATTTGATTATCATTTTCATTTAAAAGATTATATATTTTTAAATATAACTAATTTTAAATATTTCCTTGCTTTTAATTCATTCCATTTTTATTTTAGTTATTTTATATCCAGTTCATATCTGAATAACATTTCGTCAATTATTGTTGTATTACACTATTATCATTATCTTAGTTATTTCTGTTCCAATCTTCATCTTTCTCTGTATGGGTGTGTCATAGAGGTGTGTCAGTTGGAAGATGTGGAGCAATTACACTGTTCTCCATTTAATACCATTTTATTGATCAATCTTATAATCATTAAATAATTCATCATTAAATCATTAAATAATCATAATAATTAATCATTAGTTATCATTCTATGATTGTTTTCCAAAATTTTTATATACATAGACAAACTAGTTTGATATAATTCAGAATGAAAAGAGTTAAATTAACATTCTAAGAAAATGTTATTTTATTTACAATTTATTAAATACTCATTTTAATGAATTAAATCTTGATTTTAACATCAGAAGTTTCTTTTTAATATATTATACATCAGATTTATATGTTACAAAATTAAGTAATATGTAACTTTTTTATTCTAATAAATTTGTATTTAAGAAATCAACAACCGCATTAACACCAGGATGTGTTAAAAAATCATACTCCTAGAACCTATTTCCAGTGTGACTAAAAAAAAAGTGGTAAACTTTTTCTTTTGTTTTTTTCATCACACCGGAAATAGGTTCTAGGAGTGTGATTTTTTAATTTGCATTTATTTATTTAATTAAAAATAATTAAAATAATTTTCTTCATTTTTTGACAAACTCATATAAAAATATTATTTATACTTTAATTAAAATGAATAATTTGTGTTTTGCAAAGTATTTGCTAATAATGCTTTCTCATGTTTTGCTTTTTTGTCTGTCCTCCATGTTTCAAGGCCTGATGTTTGTGACTTTGATAGGATTGGGCAGTGAACAACCGCATTTCACAGTGCTGCCAGATATGCATGTGTAAGCTTTCACTGCACGCTGTTGTTCACTAACATCTGTGGATAAATTCTTGCACTTGTGTCACAATTGCATGAATATTTCTGCTATGAAGTGATAAGAAAAATGATAAATTGTCTGGAGAAGAACTTCTGCTACAAAACAAAGATGTAAAAGCATAAAAGATGTTTTTTGGTTTTATATTTTTATTTTTGTATTGTTATTTTTTATTTTATTTTTGCTATGTATTTATTGCATTAAAAGTTATTTTGTTGCATGTATTTCATTGATATATCACTATCATGCAAATATATTTAAAATTTAGGTTTTATTAACTTTTTCACAAACATCATCCACAGTTTTAGCTTCTATCTTACAGGTTGTTGGTGTTCTGTCAATTTTGTTCGTTATTCTATCAACGATTGCATTGACACTTAACACCTTGCCCCAGTTACAAGAAAAAGACAAAGATGGTCATCCTGTGGATAATCACAATCTTGCTGTGGTAGAAGCTGTCTGCATAACTTGGTTTACACTTGAATATTTACTTCGTTTTATTTCATCTCCAAATAAATGGAAATTTTTCAAAGGTGTATTAAACACAATTGATCTTCTAGCTATTTTGCCTTATTTTGTTTCTTTATTTTTAATTGAATCAAACAGACAAGGAGATTCATTGTATGATGTTCGACGTATAGTACAAGTATTTAGAATAATGAGAATACTCCGAATCTTGAAATTAGCCAGGCATTCTACTGGTCTACAAAGTTTAGGTTTTACATTAAGAAACAGTTACAAAGAATTAGGTTTATTAATGTTATTTTTAGCAATTGGTATCATGATATTTTCAAGTCTTGCGTATTTTGCTGAGAAGGATGAGCATTCAACGAAATTTACAAGTATCCCAGAAACATTCTGGTGGGCAAGTATCACAATGACGACAGTTGGATACGGTGATATTTACCCTACCACACCACTGGGAAAAGTGATAGGTACTTTGTGTTGTATCTGTGGTGTGTTGGTTATTGCACTGCCTATTCCTATCATTGTCAACAATTTTTCTGAGTTTTATAAGAATCAAATGAGACGAGAGAAGGCTTTAAAACGAAAAGAAGCACTAGAACGTGCAAAACGAGAAGGTAGCATTGTTTCATTTCATCATGTAAATTTGCGAGATGCTTTTGCAAAGAGTATGGATTTCATTGATGTTCTAATGGAATCAGGACAAAATCCTAGTCAGGTTAGTTTTGTATTTTATACTTATCATAAAATTTTGATTGTTATTTCTTTTTATTGCTTAATAGAAAAATGTTTAAATTTATCATATTTGCAATATATTGTTGGCTGAGAACCACTTATTCTATCTCCATTTTTGCATATTGTACTATTGTAACAAGAACAATTTGTACTATGTGAATTCATTTAGCAGTGTTTTTAACTTTCAAACTTAATTTCTCAGAATGTAGATAGAATAACTGAAGATAGAATAAAGTGGTTCTTGACTAGTAATATATCCAGATATACAAATCCAAAATTGGAAATATTTAAATACTGTACATAGTGTATTCATATCCAAGTTATAGTAAAACTTAGATATAGATATATGAGAAATATAAAAATCTATTTCTTATCATGATTTAAAATTATATTTGTTAAAAGAATGAATTAATAGAAATTCACATTTTTATTTTTAATATACATACATGTTTTTTCTTATTTTCTCATAAAAAGTTTAATGCTGCTGTTGCTTTTGAGTAGGAATTTTGCTCTTGCCTCATTCTAGAGAAAATAGATAAATTCTCTTCTCATTATTGTGTAATAAAAAAATATAAACAGTTTATAGTAAAAAAGTTTATTGTTTAAGTGTAAAAAAAAATTTTTTTTCTAATTTTAGAACAAAGTATTATGATAAATTTTATGACATTCAGTATACAGTATAAATGTTATGTGATAATTAACATTTTTGTTGTTAATTAAATATTTAATGATCAACCAATAAAATAATGTTTTATTGAAGCATTGAGTTATAAATATACATTATCAAACTTTTTAATTTTAATTATTAAAGTAAATGGATATCTTCTATATTATCCATTGTCATTAGAGAGTTTGTGGCCGAAGTTCAAACATTAAACTTGTACAGCAAGCAGAAGTGCACATTCGATGTTTGAACTCCAAGTAAAACACATTGTGCCACATGTTCATGTCATGCACTAACTCATGGGATAATAGCGAGGTTGAGGCCAAAGTTTTAAACGCAAAAACTTATATGTTGGACTTTTAGCACTGCTTTCCTGTAAGCCTAGAAGTTTGACAATGGTGTTTGGATAGTCAGTGGAATCGTGCTTGACATTCCAAACACCATTGTCAAACCTCTAGGCTTACAGGAAAGCGGTGCTGAACATCCGACATACACGTTTTCGTGTTTAAAACTTAGGCCTCAACCTCTGTATTGTTGAAAAATGGCAAAAACATTTAACAACAATGAGTGTTACCAGCGAAGGTAAGTAAACAAATTAAACTATTTTAACGTATTTATAGGATGTTTAATAACACTAAATAATGACTTTTGATTAGCATCGTGTCTCCTCCCATACGATATTTCTTACAACATACTTTTGTTGATGGAAGTAGTGGCTTTATATAAATTCGAAAGCAGCTCGGGAAATTATTTTTAGAAAATTTACAAACATATTACGCTGTTGATGGTAGAAAATGCTGTGAAAGAAGAAACCTACTCCTACAAAATTATGATAAGCTATTATGAACACAAATATATGTAAATTCTATAGACACTTCACATCACTTGCAAAAAATTTGAATAATTAAATAAAATCTGGATTAAAATCATCTGTTTCTTTACGATATTATTCATAAGTGCCTAAATAATTGTTATTTTAATAAAATACGTCATAATTTTAACCCCAAACACAGAAAAATGAAGAAGTTTAAGCTAAACTTCTACTCACTATGCTAGACTTAGCAAACACCATTGTCAACCTTCTAGACTTGCCAGATGCTGGCGCTCAATGTCTGACATTCATGTTTTTGCGATGAAAATGTCGACCACAACCTCTCTATTATGACCAGTGCTACTGAAATGTCATTGCAGCCCAGTAATAAACTGTTCACAGACCACCACATAATTTATTACTGAACGGCAATGAGATTTCACTTAAAATTTCTTAATTTTTTATATTATGTTAATAAAACTATTTAAAAACATTTGTAAAACATATTTTAAAAACATTCTATAACTTTTGTTTTTCTTTATTATTTAAACAGTTATTGCAGGAGACGTGCAATTTAAAATTGCCCATAAATTTTTTTTTTCTTTTTTCAAAATGATTAGAATCAAATTTTGTTGTTATATTTTTCTTACTACTTCAGTCTAAAAATTAAAATTAAAAAATGTAAAATATATTTGAATTCCGTTCTCTTCTTTTTATAATTGTTTTAATTTTACAAAATGCTAATCCACTAATCCACAAGGGATTGAAATGAAAAAACATTGATCTGTGACACACAAAGATTCAGAAGAATTGATTATTTGCTACATGTTTACGTGGTTCTATGAGGTAGCTGTCACACTTGAAATTATCTCTCATTTTCCAGATCACTAAAGGAATAAGAATGTCTAAGTTATCATTGATCTAATTAGTTTGAAAAAAGCATAAAATAACCAATAACTTATCTTAATTTTTACAAAACTTAAGTAAAAACATAACAAAGTATTTTCTGTATTGTACAGGAAGTAGAGCTTTAGTTCATCATGGATTATTCCATCACTGGCCACTAGCACTTAGTATTGGGTGCCTATTTTTGTATCTGGGTATTGAGTAGATGGGTACACAGCTATTACCTGAATACCCAGATTCATTTAGAAGAGCGTGTACAATCTTTATGAAAAACCATAAACAAGCAAAATGATTAAATTACAGATGTTTACTAATCTATTTAGCTGTTTTTAATTGAAAATTTCTTTCTAATAAGTTATTATTTTCAATTTTTAATTCATTAAAATTGTTAATTAGGAAAAAGATGATCTTTTTAGGATCACTGAATTACAGTAGAGTCTCAAAAACTCGGCACTCGATAACCCAGATTCCAGATAACTCGGACAAACCCTGGCAGGGCAAAAATACCCTTAGATAATTAATTTTCATCATAGACAGCTTTATGCCTCATAATGTATTTTTCTGAGGTCTGTCTTATCAGGTAAATTACTGTACACAGTGTATTCANAATTAATTTTCATTATAGACAGCTTTATAAAAGTATAAAAGCTCTCATAAAGTATTTTTCTGAGGTCTGTCTTATCAGGTAAATTACTGTACACAGTGTATTCATTAATTTTCATTTTCATGTAGTAAAGGCTCTATGCCTTCATAAAGTACGTACTTTTCCTTTGTTTAAGGGTATTTGGGCAGTTTATTCTCTGTTGTATTCTCAAGCAAACAATACATACAAGTACAGTACAGTATTTTCTGAGGAAACACGCATACTTATCCTTTTTTAACCCCATTCCCGATAACCTGGCATTTTCACAAACTTGGCCACCCTTTGGTCCACATTAGGCCGAGTTTTCGAGACTCTTCTGTATTAAAATTTAAAATAAGACATTTTATTAAATAAAAATAATTTATCCTGTTATTAATCCACAACTCTAAAATTATATGACTGTGAAATGGGGAAAAATTGGTTTTAAGTATTTTTTTATATATTCTGTAATTTGTTACAAAAATATAAATTTATTAAATTTGTTCTTTAATGCTCCCTTATAAAATCTTATAAAATATTAATAAACTGGATAAAATTTAATCAGAAATTATCTTTTTTGTTACACAATCAAAATTATTAAAATGAAAATTCAAAAATGACACCATTTAAATGATGATTATTTATAATTTTTTGCATTTTGTTTTCATTTTTAGACCAACTTATTAATATCTGAGGATGTAAAAAAAAAGTAATTGTAAGGAGTTAGAAAAGTGAAAATATTTTGAAAAATTTTTATTGATGTTCCTGATTGATGTATGTAAAGATTATTAAGATTATTATATATTGTTCTTTCAAAATTATATTTTATAACTAATACAGCATTTTTAGAATCTCAAAATACTGTTGATAACATTTTTATTTTAAATATATTTAAGCTGAATGTAACTTCTAGTTATTTCAACTTATATTTAAACTTCTATTTTTAATTTTGATGCAGTTTTATTCCATATGTGTTTATATGTACACTTCCTATTGTTATTTTATCCTATATGCACATACATGTAAAACCTTTAATTGATATTCTAACATGTACTTGATTTCTTTGTCTTGGAAAAATCAGAGAACTGGTTTCTAGAATGTTTCTATTATTTTCATCTTGTGTTCCAGTCCAGTATTACAGTAAAGCATTGATTATCCAAATACCGACCAAACAAAACATTGGTTAACCAAAAGTGTTTCAACTGGCAAATTCAAATTTCCACTAGCAGTTTAGGGTACTACTTTAATGTACTACTTTATGTAAGGTATGTATTTGTAAGATGTGTGATACAAAATATATTCAGTACAGTTTTGTGTTTAATATAGTTTTTGTAAATGATCAGTTATCCAAACAACCCCAGTCCCAAATTGTTTTGGATAATCTATGCTCTGCTGAATTTGTATTTAGTCCCATATTTTATTTAAGCCTGTTATCAAGTAATGAAAAGATTTTGGTATGGAACTATTTTTATCATTTCATAATTAAATAAAATCAGTTTGTAACAATTAATTTGTGATAGTCTCTCTTTTTCAAATTAAATTATTTCAAATTTAGATTATAAAATATTGCAGTAAAATACCAGCTTTGATAAAAGGAATTAATAATAGATACTCTTTACTTTCAGTCATTGCTGATATGTAAAGCTTCTGTTGTAAAATCCAATGATTGTATAAGTTTGTTTTTGAGAGTTTCATAAATGTATTGGATTACAACTTTGATTGTAATAAAGTAAAATTAGCTATGAACAGATGACTTTTTACTAATAATGTACAGTGCTATTACTTACATTCTTTTATCTGTGTTAGGTTGATGGTTCTGTGTACTTAATCAATTTTCAAACATGTAGCATATGTGATTATTAGAATTCTGATACCATTATTGGTATCAGAAGTCTAATGCAGATAGCATTTGTACTGCATATCTAAATTTTCATTAAAGCCAAGAAGAATTAATTTTTTTATATAGTAAACCTAAATAATATAGTAAATTTATGTTATATTTTACATTTTATTTCCTTTTATGTGATACATTAGATAATATACCTATTACAATTGCTTGACACAATTAATTAAACTGAATGTAATGATTAGTTTGTTAAAATAATAATTAATAATTGTATTTAATTATATAAACTAAAAATTTTCACTTAAAATTAAATTTTGTTAAATCTATCAGATTGGTTTGATTGAATTAAAAATTATTATTTGTGCCCTATAGTATTTGTAAAATATAATATTAAAATCATATTTTTAGCTTAATATTTCTTAATTCAATTTTTACAGATGGATGCAGTAAGTGTTGGAAATGATTCTTCTCAAATAAACACAGGTGCAATTTGCTATAAAAATATTGATTCTTCAATAGTAGAACGTTGTCCAAATTGGAGAAAAGATTCTCAAGCTCAGTCATTACCATCAGGCATTATAAATCCAATTTCTAATAATTTATTGGATATCTCAGAGTTACAAAATGCAAAGTCTTCTAATTTAAGAAGTGATAGCTGTGGAGCACTTGATCGAATGAAAAATAATCAATTAGAAGGTTCAAATTCTATAGCAAGTTATTCACAGGGCTTTGTATCTACAGTAGGTATTGCTTTAAAGTAATTTAACGTTGTATTTAATTATTTTTGTATATTAAGTTATTTTAATTTTTGCATTTTTATTCAGAATTTTGAAAATTACAACACTGAAAATTCTAGATATGATCAATTCAAATAAATTTTTATTAATTGCTCTTTTTTGATAGTGTTGGTAAATTTGTCTTTATTAACTTGCTAAAAACTTAAACTAATTATGAAAAGAAAAAAATTTAATTGAATGAGACAAATTTTCATAATCAATTGTATAGATAAAAATAAATAGAATTCCACATATTCTCAAAAAAGTTAGAATAACAGTAAAATTATGAAAGATTGTTGGTGAAGACACAATTATAAAGTGCTTTAGGAAATATGTTACCAACAACTTGGACAGAACAGATGATAATATACTGTTCAAGGAAGTGTCTACTTGGACCATGATGGCAATGAAATAGGAAAGAGGAATAATATCAATAAAAGTTCTGATGAAGATATGAATGTGATGAAGTATTGTTTCAATGACTTTCCAAATTTTTTTTTAATATAAATATCTAATTTTTTGTATGCAAATAAAATTAATAATAAAAGGTCAACTTATATTCAGGTCCTAATTTTTTTCAAAAAATAAGGATTCCAAAATTGGGAGTGAACTTATATTTGGGCCAATATCATAATTTCTTGGAATAATTATATCGAAAGGTATATAGTAAGTGAAAATTAAATTCAGTTATTGTTTTAATTTTTCATTTTATTTTTAATCAAATTGCTTTTGCAAAGGAAAGATTATTGAATGTAAGAATACATATAACACAGACTGAATATTTTTTTATTTTATAAGAATTATTTTATATATGTTCATTATTTTTTAATGAAATTTATCAATAAGTTAATCAGTGGAATTAAACATTAAATTTTATTGAACAAAAGATCATATTCAATATAGGTAATTTAATATTGCAAAAAAATTTTTATATAGATTTTATAAGGAAATTTGAGAAAATTTAGGTAGTTTTCACATTAAATTACCTATGCTGGAAATGAAATTTATTTACTGCTGTTTATTATAATTTTTTGTAGTTTTTATTAACTCCAAATAATTTATTTCTAGGAAGTTAAAGAATTCATAGATCAAGATTTGCCAACTTATGCTGATGTACAAACTAACATTGAAATGAAAACAATAAATAAGTGGGATATTGGGAGTGAAGAAAGTTCAGACACATATTTAAGTTGTAATACTCATCAGTTTGCATCATTAGGTGATCTTTATTTAGATGAAACGTCAAAACCTTCAGGTACTTTTACATCCAACAATAGTGTTTACATAAATCCATTTGATAATAATAATTGCACTGTTTCTAATGTTGAAGATTTATCTCAGAAAATGTTTAATAGTAAAAATACATCTTTTAATCCTGAAATTGCTAATAAAAATAATTTACTTAAAAATAAAGACAACGAACCATCTGAATGTCAAACTCAAGATGATGGAAAACCATTAAATATTACACCAAAACCTCATCTCTCATCTGATATTCGTAATCCATTGCTTAATGCTTTTTCTTTTAAGAGACCATGGCTGTTTCAAAATTTAAAATCTAGATCAAGATTTGATGGAAGAGGGACACCTTCATGTAGTTTAGGATCATCTGCTGATTCTCTCACTGGAAGTACAGGAAGTCATCAAAGTAGTGGAAAATCAAAAGTTGGAATAAAAGTTTCATTTCCCTATATAGGTAAGCAGAAAAATTATAATTGATGTAGGATATTATTTTACAGTAAAAATTAAATGTTTAGTTCAAGTAATTTGGAAGATTAGTTGTTTATATTTCATATTTGCACAAATAACTCAGAATATGTGAAGAAAATTTAAAAGTTAATTTGATAAATATATAATTTACAATAGTTTTCCATATTATACTTCATTTTCTTCTCTGTTATTCTTCTGAAAATTAGTTGTAAAGCCTTTTGTGAATCAACAACAAATTGCAATGAGATTTGAGAATGTCAAATATTAACATTCAATTTTTTGAATTTTATTATTTTCCAATGCTTAGGCTACACTTAAAAATGAGAAAAAAAATCCTTGATGCACAAGTCTATGGTTGCAGTTATAATGGGGCTGTCAAGAAGGGGAGAGTTGGGGCTTTTTCCCTGGGCTTAGAGAGAACTTAGGGTAACTACTTCTATAAAATTAATGTTACTTTTACTAACAGAAAATAATCTTTAAGACCAGTTTTTATTAATAAAGAAATATTCTATGCCTTTTACATGTTTAAAAAAAATGGCAAAAGGAATTTGTTTAAAAAAAATGGCAAAAGGGCCTATTTCACTTCTGGTCCCATACAAGCTCTTAAACAAATCTGGTTAGTAATACTTGAATATGAATTTTCCTTCTGAGAACTTTGGAAATATGCATTATTAGAAAAATTTCCTCATCACTAAAAATAAAGTTGTGATGTTAAATTTGATATGAAAAATTATTCTAGAAAAATAAAATGAATATTTTTGAAATGACAGAACTTTATAAAATATAAAGTTTATCAAGTAATATTAAACAAATAGTCATTTGTATATTAAAACATATTATCATGCAATGTAATTAATTAATTTACTTTAATGATAAAAAGTCATTATTACATATATTTATTTCAACCAATGCCATTTGTTGTAAGAAATATTAAAAGAAATATAATGATAAAAAAAGTGTCATATCATTTCATTTATTATCTATGAAATGTTTTATAAAACATGTTAAGCAGATTTTGCATGAAAAGATCAAGAATATAGAGAGATTTAAATTTCCAAATGCCATTTGTAGCATTTATAGATTCACTGTTACAAATCAGTGGCAATAATGTCTGTTATCTTTCCTGCATACAGAAAAGGTTGATTCATCACTGAAGAACAACAGATTAAAATAATTGGATTGTGATTAATATGTGAGTGTAATGCTCATCACAAACTAGAAAATATCAAAGCAACCTGGTCAAAGGCAACAACAAATGAAATTCGTTTGATTATTGCATGGCCAACCATCGATTGCCTGGTCATCGACTCAACATCACTCTGTTATACCCTTTGATGGAAAGTAGGCAGTCCATTCGATGCCTCTCAGATCCAAGAAGTTGGATTTTTTGGGTGATGATCAGTGACATTCATGAGCATTTGAAAGTTTGCAAGAAAAGAGTGTGTGCTGAAGGCCACAAACAAGGCATGTGTTTGTGCAGTGATCTTTGTCATGTTTCATCTATATCTTTGCTATGCTGGGATTATGAAACATTGTAATCCCAGTGTAGCAAGAGACATAGCTGTTTGATAGATTTTCATAGATGTAAGAATATAAATTATTTCATTCATTTCATTGAAATTTATAAATGTATTGGGTTCCTGATTTTGTTTTTGTTTGTTTATTAAATTTCTGCCAAATAGACAACAAATGGAGGCAGGCAATCTAACATCAGAAAATGTTGCAGATTGTCAACATTTGACAAAAAAATATGGTGCAATAATTCTTAGATGGGTAGACAAAATGTTTATTGGTTCTGTATAACTATGTTATGAGCTCTATCACAAGTGGCAACATTGCCAGATCATCAAAGGAAAACAGCCACATTACCATAAAAAGTGCCTGTGACTTTATGTCAAAAGCAATGGCATTTCATTTCCTAGTTTGTGGTGGTCTTAAGACAGAGGAAAACTTTATTATAAGTTAGTTATGTTAAAGTTCTTTGATAAGTTTCTTTGATTGTCTGAAGTGTCTGTTTGACCACTGGAGAAAACAAAGAAAAACAAAACAACAAATGATTAAGAAACTCTTTAGAAGTTTAACTATACGATAATAAACTTTACTTGAGATAAAATAATTGTGTACAAAGAATATTTATGAAGCATAGTTGAGTAAAAAATAATCACATACAAAGATACATTATGAATAGAACATAAAAAAATTTTTTTCATCTTAAAATCTCAAATCCAGTATCTTGAATTCTAACTAAACAGCTCTTCTAGTCCCCCCGACAATCAACTGAGTCCTTTTGGCTTGAAACTTCTCTTCTCAATCCAGCTTCTTTCCTTGTCCCCATTCTCAAATTCATCTGTCCACTTTTTTCATTGTTTCTATTCTCAAATTCACCTGTCCTTTTTACAAGGATTCAATTATATAATATAACATGAATAAAGCAGTATTTATCACAGTAACTGCAACTACATTCAAATCCTGTTCATTTGGCTTTGCAGAATATCCAAATTGGTTTGAATACTTGTTTTTTAAAAATTTTTACATATTTTGTAGAAAAATCATTGTTTTGCAATGTTTATGAGATCATTGAAAGATTATTTACTTGACCAACAATCAGTGACCAATATTGATCACATGACTCATCTGATGTCACATTGAAATGCCAGACCTTAACATTCTGTTTTTTACTTTTCAAGATTTGGTCACTTTACTAAATACTAAGTGGTATGCTGTAGAGAATAGGGACAATTAAAACACTTTCTATGGATATTGGATTTTTACAGAGATATTTTTCTCTATGCAGCACATACACATTTTGATTTTTTTCAATATGTCTTTGAAACATAAAATATGTATTGGAGGAGAAGCAATAAAATGTAATTTGAATATAACATTTTTTTTTTCCTTTCTCTTTTTCTGCATTAATAAAATCATAACAGAATGTTATCTTCTGTAAATTGGAAACTTGCCAAAATAGAAAGTTGTGATTAATATTGTCAAATTCCATTTTAAACAGATGTTATTATATTATATTTTTAGCATATAGTGTTTTCTCCTCATTTTCTTAACATGTTATTAATCAGTGACATGCATTTATTTATTTATTTATTTAACTGTCAATTTCAAAACTTAATTACATACTGTAGGTATTTTAACATAGTTAAAAAAATTATTTTCAGGTATTACTGAGAATATTGCAAATATACAACATTTTATTTTTATAACAATGAATCTTATAAAAATTTAGTAATATTAGTAATTTTATTTATAGTAATTAGTAAATTTAGTAATAAATAATGATATTAATATATTATTATAGAATTAACAATTTATTTTACTTACAAAATTTTAGGAAAAAATATAAATAAAAGTTCCTTACTTCTGGATACAACTGATTCTACTACTGCAATAGGAAAGAAAGGTTCAGCTAGCCCCGATATTTCAAGAAAGAAATCAATTTTAAAGAAAAATGATAGTTGTCATAAAGAAGAAACAGAGAAGTTAATAGAAGATAACAGTTTGAAAATTTATTTGGACAACAATGAAGAAACAAATTTAGCATGCAATACTGTGGTTAATACTGATCTTATATCAACAGTACTTCCTGTTTCAACACTGTGTTCTGCACCTTGTTTAACACCAACGGTAACTCTTTCTAATGTGACTAAACAACCATTGAAAGCAATTGGACCCAAAACTGGAACTAAACCCCATGCACAACCAATTAAATTTGTTGGAATTTCAGATAATGAATATTGTTCTGAAAAGGATAAATCTGTAGTAGATAATTTATTGTCAAAAGATTCATTATATTTGCCAAATTCATCAGATTGCATTTCTTCAGAATTAAATAGTTTGCCAAAAACTGATTTTAATATTTCTTCTGCTGTATATAAGAATGAACCCAACTGTTCAACCAGATCAATTGGAGTTGGTATTCAAGAAAATGAACTTCTGCAGAAATCAGATGAAATACCATATAGAGATGTATCTTCAAATTCCAATTCTCAAAATTGCAATAATACAGAATATGTATATGGTAAGTATTTCAAAAATAGTCTAAATGATCTATGTTCTTTTGGAAGCAAAATTGAATTATTTTTATTTATTATATCATCATCATGAACAACTCTTTTTTTCTCTAGAACATCTGAAAGACACTATAACCAAAAATGTCACAACAGAAACTTTAATGGAGAGCTATGACCAAAATTCTAATGGTATAAGTAAAAATTTCAAAAGCATTGATAATGATTGTTTGATTTCTCAAAATTCTGATGTTACAAATATTATATCTAATGAAAATCAAGCTATCCAACCATAGTCCATTAGCAACAAAATCAAGCTTTCATGTATAAATTATATGTAAGTATTTTATTTTTTATAATTTTCAAAATTATTATATTTTATTAAATATATATTTTTATTTGGTTGCAATTTGAAAAAATTGTAGACTTGTAAATTCCCACAGTTGTTTGTCTGTCTTTCCTTAATCTTGAGAATAGAGTTAGATAGATAAAAGACAAGACCAGATATGGAAACTAGGTACAGAAGGTCCCTATGAATTAACTATACACAAGGAGACCCAAAAATAACATGAAAATATTCAGAAAAAATCATGTATTTAACAACTTCACATTTTAATCTCCTTCAAAATATTCTCCATTAGCCTCAATACATGTATCCAAATGTTTTTCCATTGTTCAAAACACCTAGAAAATTCCTGTTCCAAAATGCCTCTTAGCACCTCTGTCACTTTTGTTTTCACCTCTTCTACTGTCTGAAATTGCTTCCCTTTGAGTTCCCTTTTCATTGTAGGGAATAAAAAAAAATTGCAAGGTGCTAGACCAGGCAAATAGGGGTGTGGGGGATGAGGGTCATGCTGTTTCTTATGAAAAACTGCTGCACGGAGAGCACTATGTAAGTGGGCGCATTGTCTTGATGGAAAAACCAATCCCTCATTTGCCACAAGTCCCTTCATGTCCTTTTCACAGAAGCCTTTTGAGGACTTCATAATAATGTCGGTTGACTGTCTGGTTGGATGGACGAATTCAGAATGAAAAATTCCTTTCACATAAAAAAAAAAAAAAAAAAAACAGATTAACATGGTTTTCACATTCGACTTCACTTGTCTTGCTTTTTTGGAATTAGTAGATACTGATGTTTTCCATTGGCTGGATTGACATTTGATTTCTGGATTTTAACCATAACACCATGATTCATCACCAGTTATCACTTTAGAAAACAAGTCTGGATCATTTTCNTAACCAAAAATGTCACAACAGAAACTTTAATGGAGAGCTATGACCAAAATTCTAATGGTATAAGTAAAAATTTCAAAAGCATTGATAATGATTGTTTGATTTCTCAAAATTCTGATGTTACAAATATTATATCTAATGAAAATCAAGCTATCCAACCATAGTCCATTAGCAACAAAATCAAGCTTTCATGTATAAATTATATGTAAGTATTTTATTTTTTATAATTTTCAAAATTATTATATTTTATTAAATATATATTTTTATTTGGCTGCAATTTGAAAAAGTTGTAGACTTATAAATTCCCACAGTTGTTTGTCTGTCTTTCCTTAATCTTGAGAATAGAGTTAGATAGATAAAAGACAAGACCAGATATGGAAACTAGGTACAGAAGGTCCCTATGAATTAACTATACACAAGGAGACCCAAAAATAACATGAAAATATTCAGAAAAAATCATGTATTTAACAACTTCACATTTTAATCTCCTTCAAAATATTCTCCATTAGCCTCAATACATGTATCCAAATGTTTTTCCATTGTTCAAAACACCTAGAAAATTCCTGTTCCAAAATGCCTCTTAGCACCTCTGTCACTTTTGTTTTCACCTCTTCTACTGTCTGAAATTGCTTCCCTTTGAGTTCCCTTTTCATTGTAGGGAATAAAAAAAAATTGCAAGGTGCTAGACCAGGCAAATAGGGGTGTGGGGGATGAGGGTCATGCTGTTTCTTATGAAAAACTGCTGCACGGAGAGCACTATGTAAGTGGGCGCATTGTCTTGATGGAAAAACCAATCCCTCATTTGCCACAAGTCCCTTCATGTCCTTTTCACAGAAGCCTTTTGAGGACTTCATAATAATGTCGGTTGACTGTCTGGTTGGATGGACGAATTCAGAATGAAAAATTCCTTTCACATAAAAAAAAAAAAAAAAAAAACAGATTAACATGGTTTTCACATTCGACTTCACTTGTCTTGCTTTTTTGGAATTAGTAGATACTGATGTTTTCCATTGGCTGGATTGACATTTGATTTCTGGATTTTAACCATAACACCATGATTCATCACCAGTTATCACTTTAGAAAACAAGTCTGGATCATTTTCCAAATGTTCTTCCAAATGATCAGAAAGACTTCCGATGCTTTCTTTCTGATCAGCAGTCAACAAGCACAGAACAAACTTTGTGGAAACTCTTCTCATGTTGAGTTCTTGTAACAAAATTTGCTGAATCAAACTCCATGAAATCCTAAACAAATCAACAAGTTCATCAATGGTTCAACAGCGATTGTCATTAATGAGATCAAATTTTCTCAACATTTTCATCAGTTTGAATGTTGGATGGATGACCACACCTGGGTTGATCTTCAAGAGACATTTCTCCTTTTTGAATGTGGGAAAACCACTCTCAAACAAGATGCTATGAGTAACCCTTGTCTTTCTCATAGAATCGTGTTTGTAAGCACATTGAATCATTTCAACCATATCCAATCTACTTTTCCCTAACAGGAAACAAAATTTCATAGCAGTGCATTGCTCTTTAAAATCTGACATTATGTTTTCAATGAAAATGAAAAACAGCTTTCAGAAAAAAAATTGCTATGGGCCTTGATACACCAATGCCATTTCTCATGCTGATTCCGGAAGATTCTGTCTACTGACATCTAGCGGTAGATATGCATACTATAAACCTCTCATCCTTCTCAAAATTATTCCTGTTATTTTTGGGTCTCTCCACATATATGAACTTCTGATGTAAACTAGAAGTCACATTATTTCAATTAAAAAAATTTTTCCCTGTAATTCATTTATTACAGTAGGGCTTACTTGAGCAATATTTATTTACCTTAATCTGTTGACAGAAGTATTAAGAAAATACAAAATTATTTTAAAAAATTGACTATGCTAGTGTTAGTACTTAGGTATTTATTCCCCAGCATTTTTTGGCAGGCCAGAATTCAAAGATGAAGCAGAATACAGGTATACCTCGCCTTACGTTGGTAATTGGTTCCAGGAGAGGTGACTTAAGTCGAAAAACGACGTAAGTCGAATTTACTTGTCACTAGGCTAAACCACAAATAACCATTCCCAGTTCTGTATTTTATTTATAAATGCATTTTTAATAATATATTGTTAATAAGAATCTATTTTAAGCTTACAAACAAATAAATTTTAGTTTTTAATATAGTACAGAAAAAAGTAATCTAAATTTACGAATGCATGTACTGTAAATACAGTATATACTTGTAAATGTATATATTTTAATATGATTTTATGTGCTTTAAACATTTTTCTAGTGATATTACGACTTCAAATATTTGTGGCGGACAGACGTAAAGTCGAATAAAATGACTTAAACTTGA